ATCTTTAGTGTATTGGGTCATTATGTCCTATGTGAGTGTCCAGTCTATCTTTCCTTTAAATACATTTATTTATGAAGCAGCTATTAGGTGCTAGAAGCTATGACAAGCAATAGGGATGCAGTGTTGAATGAAGAAACAGAATCCTTGTCCTTAAAGAATTTCCAGTCTTGTGAGAAAGACAGCCATTAAACAAGGACATGAGTGTATAGCAAAAATATCTAGGCCACCCTCCCAGATAGGGGAAGAACTCCCTTCTTGAGAATAAGTCAGCCAGGAAACAGTAAGTGAAGAGAGGATGAATACTGAACATTGGGATCTCATAGCAGATGGTTATTATTTAAAGTTCCTGTCATTTGGGGAAATTAACAATTCTAGGACATGACTAGCAAAACATCTTTGGTGACATTGGAGGGTCTTTCGGAGTAGGGTCTTATTGTTACAACATGCTAAGAACACAGACAGGGACTCTCAAAGCACAAGATTGTTGCTTCTGGTCCCGACCAGGCACCAACCAACTTAATGCTTCTTTCCTTACCCGTCTCAACAAAATTAGATGTTTTACCCTTCCTTGTACTGGTTACTCTTCCATCCAGTCAAGCAATAATACTATGAAGTATAATGTTTCTCAAAATGTAATACACAGTTGGGACCAGCAGTTAGCATAATGGCTATGTCGCTGGACTCCCACGTAGTCGACCGTGGTTTGCGTCCCGGACCCGGTGGCTTAAAACTCACGCTGGGCACGTGTGCGTGCATGCCCAAGATCCCGAGAGGAGAATGGAGGAGAAGGGATTGCGGCGTGGCCATCCCCCCCTGGGGGGTGATTTCTCGCTTTCTGTCTCTCTGTCTCTCTCTGTCTGTCTGGCGAGCGCACGCGCCCTATAGCAAAAACCTCTCCAAAAAAAAAAAAATGTAATACAGTATCACATGAGTAAAAATATATGTAAGTCACTGTGGCATAACGAAATCATTTGAGGTAGAATAAGGACAAATGTTTTAATAAGTATGCATTTTTAATGAATTCTTACTTTAAAATAATTCCAACTAATACTAGCAAATCAGTTTAAGGGAAAATATTGAATAAAAAAAATGGGATAAAGTGTGGATAACATCATTATACTAGGGGTGCTTTAAACTGATTACTTAACCTTTATGTATCTCATATTTTTCCTCAGTAAAATGGTAAAACTAATAATACCTGCCTCTTGGTAAGGGTGAAATGAAAATGTCTTTAAGTCACAGCTGAGTATCTGGTACATAATAGGCTTTTAACAAATGATTGTTTCCTTTCGCTTCTCTTTCTACTGTTTACATGTTGACACTTCTGCTTTCCACTCCCGTCTGGCCTTTACTATTTTTTATAAAGAATTACTTAATTTTGTTTTATTCATTCATTTATTTTTAATTTGACCAGAGAGGAGTGGGGGAGTGAGAAAGCAAGCCACCAGGTCCAGGACTCGAACCGTGTCAGTCATGTGGGAGTGTCCAGTGCATTAACCACCACGCCACCTGCTAGTCCCCTGGCCTTTACTATTAAAGCTGAAATGTGGGGCCAGCAAGTGGCATGGTGGCTAAAGGCGCTGGACTCCCACATGACCGACCACGGTTCAAGTCTCGGACCTGGTGGCTTGCTTTCTCACTTCCTCTCTCTCTCTCTGTCTCTCTCTGATCAAACTGGAAAATAATAATGATAATAATAATAAATAAAGTTAAAATAAAATAATTCTTCTTTAAAAAAAGCTGAAATGTAAAACAGAACATTGAATATATTTCAAATTAAAAACCTGAGATAATCTCACTGCATTTGTCAAGGTTAGGAGGGATGAGTAGATAGATAGGTAAGTGGATAGACGATAAACAGACACAGGTATAAACACATATATATGCTATTAGGTTATTGGGAAAGTCATAACATGGTTTTTCATGCATAAATTCATCATGACTTACCCAACAACCCAATAGTACAAAAAGAAGCATTAAAGACCAAACATTCTTTTTCTAAAAAATATTGGGGAGGTAAACAGAGAGCTTTAATGTTATTATGATAATGATCATTTAATAGACCATACATTTGTCATGGTTTTGCTAGAGAAATAGGAGTGAAAATCACAGAGCAGGCTTTGAGACTTGATTTCTTCATATTACGTTATGTATTACCTAACAAGGCAACTGAGAAGGTAGAGACAGTACATGAAAACCCCATACCTGGCTAAAGGTAAGTGCTAAAAATCCTAATTATTAGAGCTATTGATTTCATATTCTAAGCATCTTATCTTCTGCCCATGACCAAAACATACATACCTCATTACAGAAAACAATGTTCCATTTGAGAGGAAAGAAAAATAAATCTTGGGAACATAACAGGATCCATTAGAGTTCAGTTATAGGTAACAGAAGCCACTCTAGTTATTATAAGAAGAAAAAGATTTTATACAAGGAAATGGGTGCTCATGAAATCACTGGGAGGTCTAGAGATACAGGCTGCAGACCATGACCATGATGGTTGACTCTGGTGAAGAACTGCTAGATAAACACACCACACCCACGTAAATTTGAATTTCAGAACAATGACATTTAATTTCAGAAAAAAAATTCTAAAATTATTCAATTTCCAAGTAATTTTTAGTATAAGTGTGTCCCATATAATATTCAGAATGTATTTATACTGAAAAATATTTTTGATCTGAAATTGAAATGTAATCGGGTGTTGTGTGTTTAACCGAGAGTCTTGAATTATTAAAAAGAGAGTCCCGAATGTATCTTAAGTTCAAATTTAACCAGGTGTCCTGTGTTTTTATTTGCTAAGTCTGACAATTCTCCTCTAGGGCTACCCAGAACTTGCGGTTTATCACCAGCACAAAGGTGCCTTGCTCACTCCTTCGGTTCAGCCTCCTGGGATTGCATCAAGTTCACAGAAACTAAATTGTATTAGGAACTCTGGCTGCTGGCCATAAAGTCTTTTGGGAGACAAAACTTTTAGCTTTTTAGGCTCTGTATAATGGAAGGTATATAAAAAGCCTAGAAGACAACAGTAGTGTGGTGCTTAAGGCACTGGACTCCCACATGGCTGACGGTGGTTTGAGTACTACACCTGGTGGCTTGCTTTCTCACCTTCCCGCTCTCTCTCATTCTTGCCTGGAGAGGAAGGAAGTGAGGCAGGGAAGGGAAAGGGTGTGTTATAGAGGAAACCATCTGGTGGAAACCTGGAGCTCTGTCCCACTGGGGAAGTGAGGGAGAGTTGCCCAACAGGCAAGGGGCCCAGCATGTTTATCTTCCATCTCCCCTCTGTCGGCAGAATGTTGCTCCTGGTCATCCCTTCCCTGCAGTTCTGGCCTGGTCTGTCTGTGGACTGAGCAAAATGCCTCAGGAGGAATTCATAGGTGCTCACAGTGTGGATAGCAACTGTGGGTGCCCACAGCATATGAGCCAGAGGACACAGCCTTGGCTGTGACAATTAGTCCTGTTATGCTCCATGACCCTTGGTTGGTATCATTCCCCCACAGTTATCAGTCACTAATTTGTCTTAGCCTGGGTTCCTCTGGAAGGTAGAACTAGAGGCAAATGCTTCTGTGTCAAGAAGTACAAGCCAAGGAAGTGGTGATGGTAAAAAGGGGACTATGACAGAAAAGAGAAAAAACAACATGAGGTGTGTTTTAAAACTGGCCTCTGGAAAGGGCAAGGAATTGCATAATCTCTGAGGACTACCCTCCAGGAAACTTTACAAAGTAAATGTCTCAAGGCACTCCACCTAGGGATGAAAAGGAGAGAATGTATCTATCAGTTCCTTTTCACCACTGGCGAAGATTCATTTGTTGGGTACCTGGGTTTCCTGCACATCCACCATGCTTGTGGGCGGGCACTGAGAGAGTCCCACAGCATCTGATAACTCACGGTTAATTGAGGAGCCCCTGGCAGTGGGCAACAGCTGTGGCACAGGCGGGAAGCAAGGAGCTATCTGTGGGTTCAGGACCTGGATCTAAATCCCACCTTTGATTGGGGAGGAGTAAAAAGGTCTGAAAAGAAGTGAAGGCAAGAGGATCTGAAACAGCTTCTGAAATCCGTGTGTTTCATCAAATAAACAACCTATTAGAGCTGATCCGATCTCATATATCATGCTAAGAAAATGAGCCTGAAATAGTGTAATACATCCCTAAAGTGGCTTATAAATTAAAATTGGTTTTCTACTGTGAAAATGGGATTCATCAAACTAAAAGCAAAGGAAGCTGAATGGATAAAAGTATTCTTCCCAAAATGCTTAAATTGTAGTGAAAACAGATGTTAGAGAAACTAGAGATGTATTGGAAGAAGTGAAAAAAAAAAGAAAGAAAAAATTTAACTAATAATTTTAAAGAATAAAAGGAAAATTAATCAAGTGGAGCAAATCTGAATGAATTAGAAGCCAGTAAGCCTTGTTATTATCAGTGAGGTAAAAAGAAGACATTTTCTCATACATTCAGCCAGAAATAAAGAATTTTTAGCTGTGTTATTTTTACTTCCCCACTACTATGAAGCACTAATTGCTAGTGAATACATATTATATATATATATATATATACACACACACACACATATATATATATATATACATTAATTATTTAAGAAATCAGCTTTTGCAGGGAACAGTAATGGTAACATCGTGGACTCCCACATAGTTGACTGTGGTTGGTGTCCCGGACTCAGTGACTTAACCTTACATGGGCACATGTGCATGCATGTCCAAGATCCCAAGAGGAGAAAGGATTGTAGCGTGACCATCCCCCACCCTGGGAGCATGATCTCTCACTTTCTGTCTCTCTGGCGAGTACATGTGCCCTATAGCAAAAATCTCTCAAAAAAAAAAAAAAAAGAAAGAAAGAAAAGAAAGAAAAAAGAAAGGAAGAAAGAAAAGTAAAGAAATCAAGTCAACAGCATGCTCACAAATCTTTGTATGTGCTGGACTGGAAGACATGAAACACTATAAAAAGATAAATGTGTTTATTTGGTGGAAGAAAATGGGGACCGGGAAGCATATAGGCAGGGATATGCATTATTTCAAGGGGGAGAGAGAAAATGTACTTGACTTCATTTTTTTATAGTTAGCAGGTCTTTATTTTTAATCAGGATGCTGTTGATGCTCATTTTAATCTAGATGTTATGAGTAGGGACGGGTGAAAAGGTTGATGACACTTTTTCTACACTCATACAGTATTATTTCAAAGGAAATCATTTTATTTTAAATAAAGTGTTTTAAATGTTAGTATTCCTTAAGAAACATACCCGTTTAAATTCTGCATCCTTTGAAGAAATGTAATTATTGTGGGATTTCAAATATGCAGAAAATGATTGAAAAGTTTTACAACTGCTATATAACAAATATGTTGTTAAAATGTATTAAAAGGTTTTTAGAAGACTAAGCATAATGAATCAATAATGAAGATACTGCTACCTTCTAAACAACAAATATATTTTCAGTTTCAGGAGGAACAAGCTGTGTAAACTACTTTAGAAGATACAGTCTGTGTAATCACATAAGCGAAGTATAGTCTTCAAGACCAAGGGCTTGGTTATAGTCAGCAATAGCTTCCTCAATCAAACCTATTTTACCACGAACTTCTGCTCTAAGATTATATGCTACAGCATCATCAGGCTTCAGAGACAGAGCTGCAAAAGAAAAAATAAATTGAAGATAATGTTTCTGCTAGCACTCAAAAATAATCTCATTTCATAAAAATTAAAATTTTGTAAAACTTTGATATCACTCATTTGAAAACATTTTTGAAATGTAACTATTTAGTTAAATTAAAAATATTGAATATTTCTAAAAAAAAAATGGGAAAAACAGTACAATGTTTATCTTTGAAAGGCTGGCATTGTTTGGAGATGGTTTCCTAGTAGTTCTATATATCTCAGCTTATTGAGGCTTTAAAAAGGAATCTAGTAGGTGGCCTGTAGGTTAAGGGTGCTGGACTCCCACATGGCCAGCTGCCATAAGAGTCCCGGACCCGGCAGCTTACTTTCTCACTTTTCCCTCTCTGTCTCACACACTCTGTCCCTCTCTGGTCAAATTAAAAATAAATAAATAAATACATAAAGTTAAATAAAATAATTCTTTTAAAAAATGAATCTGTATTAATTACATTAAAAACACAGTATCTAAAAACATTAATTCTTATGTAAGTTTGTATAGGCAAATAGATCTGATTATTTTCCTCTTTTGTAGTATAAAAACAAACACATCATCCGCTGTAATCATATCAAACTAATTGCCAAAATATACCTTTACTGAGGTCTTCCTCAGCCAGTTCATATTGCTTTAAACAGCAGTAGAAATGTGCTCTGTTAAAATAAACTGCAGCCCAAGAAGGACAGCTTTTAATTACACATGCAAAATCTTCTTTTGCCTCTTCATATTTCTTTAATATTGTATTTGCAATAGCACGATTCATGAGAGCAAATTCATTTTCTGGATCAAACATTAAAGCCTTTGAGAAAAAGTCACTGGCCTATAAATTGTGAAGACAATGATCATTTGAATATATCGTCATTGGTGTACAGAAATTTGAAACATTTCTATTCTAAATTTAAAATTAAAGTCAGTCACATACTAAGCAGGCAGTGGAAGCATTTCATCCCAGATAAAGAAGTACATGGTCTGCAGAAAATGTAAAAAGCAATAGGAAAACCCAAGAGTAAAACCCAAAAGTTGCTCTGCTTTTTGTTACCACCATGTGCCAGCAATTCTAGACAATATCAATAAAATACTATTCTCTGCTGGGATGAAATGCTTCTATTACCCAACATCCAAACCTCATATTCTTGTATAGAGTAAATCAGTAACAATAATAACACAAAGACAAAACATAAATTAGAAAAGCAGTTTACAACAAGAAAATGAAATACCTCAGGCAAGGGACTGATAACCAGAATACACAGAGAAATCAAGTGGCTTACCCTAAAAAAAAATAAAGATCAACCCATTTAAAAGATTGGAAAATTAACTGAACAAAATCTCTCTAAGGAAGACTTATAAACAGCCCAAAGCATATGAAAAAATGCTCAACATCCCTCATCATAAGGGAGATGCAGATCAAAGCCAAAATGAGATACCACCTAGCCCCTGTCAGAATGGTGAAGATGGAAAAAATAAAAAATGATAAGTACTGGCAGGACTGTGGTGAGAGGGGAACTCTCCTACACTGTTGGTGGGAATAAAAGTTGGTCTAGCCACTGTTGAGAACAATATGGAGGTTCCTCTAAGATATACAAACAGAACTACCATATGATCCAGCAATTCCACTCTTGGGTATCTACCCAAAGGACAGGAGAACGGTTCAGTCAGAAAAGTGCTTGCACATCTATGTATATTGCTGCATTATTCACAATTGCTAAGACATGGAATCATCTCAAATGTCCACAAACAGATGAATAGATTGAAAAGTGTGGCACATATACTCCATGGAATTCTACTCAGTCATAAAAAAACAAGATCCTGGCATTTGATAGAAAGTGGGCGAATATGGAAGATCTGCTGAATGAAGTAAGCCAGGCTATGAAAGAGAGAGATAGTATGTCTCCACTTAACATATACCAACTCTTCACACTCTTAACAGCAGAAAATGAAAGACTAGGAACCTGCAGTTGGAGCAATGGCTATATTGCTGGACTTCCATGTAGCCAACCACAGTTCGAGTGACTTAAACTCAAACTGGGCTTGTGTGCATGCGTGCTCAAGATCCTGAGAGGAGAATGGGGGAGAAGGGATTGCGGTGTGGTCATCCCCCCTGGGGGGTGATTTTTCGCTTTCTGTCTCTCAGTCTCTCTCTGTCTTTCTGATGAGCACATGCGCCCTATAGCAAAAACCTCTCAAAGAATTGAAAAAAGAAAGAAAAGAAAATGAAAGACTAGAGATGCATTGAAAATGGTTAGGGATACTGAAGACTTTGTGGGAAGAGGGTAAGAGAAGAAGGAGAGTAAGAGGAGAGAAATTAAAGAGGAAAATGGAGAGGTTGGACATTTGTGGGATGCAGTGATGGATTATTGTCTGTTGATGATAATGCGCTTGGTATCCTGGACTGGACTGGTGTGAAATGTGTTCATGTTGGGTAAATTCACTTTATAAACTAAGGGATATATACCAATTGAGTGGATAAAATAAATTAAAAATAAAATATATAAATAAATAAAATTATCAAGCTCCTACCCCAAAAAGAAAAGCAGGCTACAACAAGAAGATAAAATGCAAATTAAAAACATAACATTTTGCATATAAAAACAGAGCTGAACACATAAATAAGTTTTCAAATATGTTTCCAAGCCACACTTGAAAGGATAAAATCTCAGTTAAACTATGAAAAGTTATAAGGAGGAAGAGAGAAGAAAAAAAAAGTCTACTTGTTAAAAAGATCAAAGACTCTGGAACCAGCAGATAGCATACTGGTTATGTCGCTGGACTCCCACATAGTGGACTGTGGTTCGAGTCCCTGACCTGCAGCTTAAAACTCATGCTGGTTTCGAGTGTGTATGTGCCCAAAGTCCCAAGAGGAGAATGGAGGAGAAGGGATTGCTGTGTGGCCATCTCCCCTTGGGGTGATTTCTTGCTTTCTGTGTCTGTCTCTCGGGCAAATGCACACACCCTATAGTGAAAAATCTCTTAGAAAAAAAAAAAAAAAAGTACCTAGTACCCTAAAGCAAAGTCACTTATACAAGTTGGCTTATTTTCTCCAATGACTTAGCACTCAGATTTTTTTTCCCCAAACCACCAAAATCTGGTTTCTGTCTACCTCCTCTATTTCATATTTTTTCCCTTGCTAAGGCTGCAGTGGCCCTCAAGCCTAGTGGGCATTCTCTAGACCTTCTCTTCCATGACAGTTCTGTGGTATGGAGACTCTTAACTCCTCTTGCCTTCTTAAAAATCTCTCTGTCCTTGAGACAGGGTTTCTCCCTGGCTTTTGTCCTGTATCTCTGATTGTTTTCTCAGTTTCCTTTACTGACCTATTTTCCAAGGATCTGCCCCTGGGTAATGCTATCATGGGTGACATGGAACACTGATTGCATGGAGCCTGGGTGTCTAGACAGTGGAACCCAGACCACTGAAGGGCTCCAATACTGCCTGCTACTTGGGTGAGTTACTAAAGCCCTATTTGCATCAATTTTCTTATCTCTAGAACAAAGGTAATAAAACTCCACTTCCAGTATTGGTATGAGGATTAAGTGAGCATTAATATGTAAAGGACTGAGAATGGTATATGGAATATGTAAAGACTCAATCAATTATTATTGATCTGTCTTTTTTTTCCAGTGTCTAGAAATAGAAAGGCAACACAGCCTTTGGGGAATACTCTCTGAACTTTGCTTCCTATGACTTTTGAGAGGAAATTAGAACAAGACTATATGAGAAAAAAAGCAAACTCTTACCCTCACAACCCTGCTAACTACCATAACTCACTGCTGGTGTAGCCCAACTCACTCCTGAATAGTGGCTATTCTATATTAAACATAAGCGCAAGTTAAGAATCTGTTAAGATGAAGACAGACTTGACATGCTTCTGTGAAGAGCTTAGAAAGAATTTTCCCCTGGGAACCAGCAGTTAGCGTAATGGCTATGTCGCCAGACTCCCACGTAGTCAACCGTGGTTCGCGTCCCGGACCCGGTGACTTAAATCTCACGCCGGGTGCGTGTGCATGCGTGCCCAAGATCCCGAGAGGAGAATGGAGGAGAAAGGATTGCGGCATGACCATCCCCCCTGGGGGGGTGATTTCTCGCTTTCTGTCTCTATGTCTCTCTCTGTCTGTCTGGCAAGCTCACGTGCCCTATAGCAAAAACCTCTCCAAAAAAAAAAAAAAAAAAAAGAAAGAATTTTCCCCCGAAGTGGAGGTTGCACTCACAGTCATCATAAATAAACAAGAAAATGACTCCAAGCAGGGACAAGATTTCCTTCATAAAGTAATTTAGGCTTCATTTAATTCACTGACAATGATCAATAGAGGATACAGAATTAAACATCACAAAAGCACGACTTCAATCACATAGGAGCAATTGTCTACCTCGGCTAAAAGAAAAGAACTCAGGGGGACAGCATGTGGCATGATGGTTAAAGGCACTGGACTTCCACATGGCCAACCGTGGTTCAAGTCCTGACCTGGTGGCTTGCTTTCTCACTTTCTCTCTCTCTCTGGTGAGCATGTGTGGCCTATAACAATTTAAAAATAATAATAATAAAATAAAATAAATCTTTAAAAGAACTCGGTAAAACACCTATAGTGTACCAAACTTTAAACAAGTAGCTTTCTGTTAGAAGTTCTACAATGTAGTATTAGAAAATAAAAACCTATAAATTTAATGAGGTTTCTGGAAGTTTCAGAGTATTATTTATGAGACAGTCAGAGGCTAAAGGCATAGACCTCAATGGATGGCCTTGATTTTCTAACAGTTGGTCTAATGCCCTCAAATCTGTAATTGATTAGAACGAAGATCCAGTTTCTTATTTGTTTGTGTTTTGTTTTGTCTTAAATTCATGGCAGAGCACATGCACACACACAAGAAAGAGAAGCACCCTCCACAGGGTTGTCATACTGGGATCCCCTTCCTCCAGTCTTCCAGCCTGCCAGATCCTGGACGTGCACACACATATTACTCGGCATGTTCCAGCCAAGCAGGGCCAGTAGGAGTTCATTCTCTCTTTCTCTCTCACTCCTTCTTCCCATTTTTCTGTCTCTGGCAAGCACACAGCCTCTGACCATTTTTCTTTTTTTTAAGAAAAAGAGAGACAAAAGAAAACTCTCACCCTTCCAGCCCACTCTGGCTACCACCTCGATTTCACCACTACTCTTCACAGAGGAATTTCTTAAATCAATTATCTATAGTTGTTTGTCTCTAATTCTTCACCTCCTATTTCCTTCAGCACGCTCAGCCTTCACTGTTTCTCTAACACTCTCATCAAAGTTATCTGCGACCTACTTCATCCTCCTCTTAACTGACCTCTCAGCAGCCTTGTATGCAAGGCGCTTTTCCTTTCCTAAGGCACTTGATTCTCTCTGAGAGGCATCCTGCTTTTCCTCCTATCACCCTGGCTGGGTGCTCTGTTCTCAGGCTATGTTCTGGCACCTTCTTCCTGCTTTGCTTCTAAATACTGGTGTTATCTCAAAGCTTGTCCTTGAATAAGCCCTTCTCTCTACCCATACTCCCTACCCACGTATGCTATTACTAATACAATCATCTTTAAAAGGAACTATATTTGGTATTTTTCACTACTAGCATTTTGTTTCTTTTTTTTTTCTTTCTCCTCCTCTAATAAAATCTTAGCTACACTAGAAAAGAAGCCTTCCCTTATTTCGGTCCGCTCTGTGCCCTCAGGGCTTAGCACATGGCAGACACCATAAATATATGGAGACTGAATGAATGAAGAACCGAGAGGAATCCAGAAGTGGGTGCTTCACTTGCTCAGCAAAACAGACTGGAACCAAAGCAATTCAGAACATAAACGTGCCCCTAAAGGTCATTTTG